CGAGCCAAGGACATGCCCAAAAAGTCTGCAAAATCTCACCGAGATCGGCCGAGCCGTTCAGGAGGAGTAGTGCGGACACACACACACACACACAGACGACAGACGGACAGACAGACAGGAAAAACTTTTCAACCCCAATGGAGTAACTGGCTTCGCTATCGCTCAGCCAATCAAGAGAGAGGAGCTCTAGAAAAAGATCGAAATCCAGTTCGCGAAGGCGGCACAGAAGATCCACTTCATCTAGATCAAGATCAAGAGGGAGGAGCTCTAGAAAAAGATCGAAATCCAGTTCCAGAAGGCGTAAAAGCAGATCAAGTAGGGATAAATCTAGCCCTAAGTGCCGACGCAGTAAATCAAGATCCAACTCATTGCCCAAATCTAGGTCCCCATCTCTCTATTGTGACACACACACACTTAGAGAATGATAACATGGATTCTAAAGAAGGGCAGGTCTCCCCAGCAAGAGTTCTTGAAACAGCACCTAAGACAGGTATTGTGCTCAAAATATTTCCTTTTTTCACTGTATAGATTGAATGCAGACTTCAGTATGTATTTGTGTGCTGGTGCTGACTTGGCCATGTGTGTGTTTTGCAGCAGTCTCTTCTGATGGTCTGAAAGGATCAGCGAAATTTTCTTCACTTTCAGATGTTGCATCAAAGATAGGTACTTACTTGACACATTTCCTTTTTAAAGATAAGATGGCCCTTTTGTGAGAACGTCAACTTTGCACACTGTAATGTGTTTTTGTTTGCTGGTGCTGACTTTGCTATGTATGTGTTTCAGTGGCCGCTTGTGGTGGTCTGAAAAAATCATCTACTACAACTCCTATCGGGTCCACTAAACTTGCCAACCCTGGTTCAGATGCTGCAGTAAAGACAGGTACTTACTGGACACATTTTCTTTTTAAAGATTGAATGGCCCTTTTGTTAGAATGCCACTTTGCACCCTTAAGTATATAATTGTGTGCTGGTGCTTACTCTGTTTGTGTATGTGTTTCAGCGGTTTCCTCTGGTTATCAGAAAAGGAACAACTTTGGCTACGACCACAACCCCTATCGGATCCAATAAATTTGCCAACCCTGGTTCAGATGCTGCAGTAAAGACAGGTACTTACTGGACACATTTTCTTTTTAAAGATTGAATGGCCCTTTTGTTAGAACGCCAACTTTGCACCTTAAGTATATAATTGTGTGCTGGTGCTACTCTGTTTGTGTATGTGTTTCAGCGGTTTCCTCTGGTTATCAGAAAGGAACAACTTTGGCTACGACCACAACCCCTATCGGATCCAATAATTTGCCTACCCTGGTTCAGATGCTGCAGTAAAGACAGGTACTTACTGGACACATTTTCTTTTTTAAGATTGAATGGCCCTTTTGTTAGAACGCCAACTTTGCACCCTTAAGTATATAGTTGTGTGCTGGTGCTTACTCTGTTTCGTGTATGTGTTTCAGCGGTTTCCTCTGGTTGTCAGAAAGGAACAACTTTGGCTACGACCACAACCCCTATCGGATCCAATAATTTGCCAACCCTGGTTCAGATGCTGCAGTAAAGACAGGTACTTACTGGACACATTTTCTTTTTAAAGATTGAATGGCCCTTTTGTTAGAATGCCAACTTTGCACCCTTAAGTATATAATTGTGTGCTGGTGCTTACTCTGTTTTGTGTATGTGTTTCAGCGCGGTTTCCTCTGGTTATCAGAAAGGAACAACTTTGGCTACGACCACAACCCCTATCGGATCCAATAAATTTGCCTACCCTGGTTCAGATGCTGCAGTAAGACAGGTACTTACTGGACACATTTTCTTTTTAAAGATTGAATGGCCCTTTTGTTAGAATGCCAACTTTGCACCCTTAAGGGGGACCCTGGTGAAACTTTCAAGTAGGCTTTAAATAATCCCAGAAAGTTGAAACTTTGCTTGATTATAAGGTTCATTATGGTGAGTTCATAAAACAAAATTCAATCTAAAATGTTGAACGGTCTCTGAGAAAGTGGCTTTTTAGTGTTTTTTAGAGCGTTGGGGAAAAATATTCCTGCGTCTTTCATTGGAACGGAAAGTCTTGAAAATTTTTTTGGGTTATCCTTAAGATGTATAGAAGAGATTTTAGTGACGGAATTTTCAATTTCATCTTCTGTCCTGAGATATCAATTTTCAAATTTAAACGTTTAAAAAAAAGTGAATTTTTTGCCTTTTTTTGAAACTTTGAGGTGTGTGTTAAAAAAGTAGGGCTGATATCAAGATTCCGTCACTAAAATTTGTCGATAAGTCATCAATGAATAGAGTCCATGCAAGACGACTCATGTAGGTGTCAACCAGGACGCAGGAAGTCTTTCTACGACAAAATTTTTTGTCGACTGAGCAAAGCTGTGAAGTTGAGCGTATAAGCCACGACAACTGATCTCAATGTTATTTCTTTCCAAATGATGAAGGACTACCCACATAGTTTTAAGGTGTTCAACCTGTTGAATCTGAAACTTCTACGCACATTTTTATCTATGAACTTTGAAAATACTATTTTTGGCAATTTGGTCATTTTTTTCACCAGGGTCCCCCCTTAAGTTATAATTGTGTGCTGGTGCTTACTCTGTTTTGTGTATGTGTTTCAGCGGTTTCCTCTGGTTATCAGAAAGGAACAACTTTGGCTACGACCACAACCCCTATCGGATCCAATAAATTTGCCTACCCTGGTTCAGATGCTGCAGTAAAGACAGGTACTTACTGGACACATTTTCTTTTTAAAGATTGAATGGCCCTTTTGTTAGAATGCCACTTTGCACCCTTAAGTATATAATTGTGTGCTGGTGCTTACTCTGTTTAGTGTATGTGTTTCAGCGGTTCCTCTGGTTATCAGAAAGGAACAACTTTGGCTACGACCACAACCCCTATCGGATCCAATAAATTTGCCACCCTGGTTCAGATGCTGCAGTAAAGACAGGTACTTACTGGACACATTTTCTTTTTAAAGATTGAATGGCCCTTTTGTTAGAACGCCAACTTTGCACCCTTAAGTATATAATTGTGTGCTGGTGCTTACTCTGTTTTGTGTATGTGTTTCAGCGGTTTCCTCTGGTTATCAGAAAGGAACAACTTTGGCTACAACCACAACCCCTATTGGATCCTATAAATTTGCCAACCCTGGTTCAGATGCTGCAGTAAAGACAGGTACCTACTTGACACGTTTCCATTTCCATGGATTGGAACTTAGTAGGGTAATTTTGCTTACATAAGTTGTAGTGTTGACCTTCCGTGTTTGTCTGTTTTAGGTGTTGCTTCTGCAAGCCATCAACTAAATGAATTGTATCTCCCTGCTGCAATATCATCACCTTCTGGATCCAAGTTCCTTACCTATGCTGGAAAACAATTCCGAATTGTTCAGAGAAACCTCAGTGGTAAACTTTATAATGTAGTTCTCCCTCTAAACAATATAACAAATTTGCCAAAGTCATGAGTTACTGTTTAAAAAATTTTTGATTTTCTAATACTTCCTGTGTACAGTAGTTGTTTCTTTGTTGTTATATATTTTTTTTAAATTTAAATAAATTAACTATTTACTGCTAAATAAGTCTGTCAATTTTGAGTTGTCTGTAATTGTACAAATTTTTTCTTTTGTACTCTAAGAAGCTCCTATTAACTAAATTGACAAGTTCCTGCAGGCATGTATTGTGATTTGTATTGATAAGTAGTTGAGCTAACCCTGGGCGAGAAGAAGCATTTCTACCTTGCTTCTCCTTGTCCGGCATTATCTCAACTTCTCTCTATAGGTTTATGGCCTATCTTATGCCCAAGCAAATATTTCACGAATTTGCATGTTCATGTTAATTGGCTATATGTGATTTATAAAATTTAAGTTAACTTACTGATTATTTATTCTGTCAACTTTGAGTTATCTGTAAGATTGAAAAAAAAATTTCTTTTGTGATTTGTACAGAGTAGTTGAGCTAACCCTGGGACAAGAAGAAGCATTTCTTCCTTTCTTCTCCTTGTTCGGCATTCTCTCAACTACTCTATAGGTTTATGGCCTATCTTACACCCAAGCAAATATTTCACTAATTTGCATGTTAATGTTAATTGGCTGTATGTGATTTATAAAATTTAAGTTAACTACTTACCGCTTAATTATTCTGTCGATTTTGAGTTATCTGGAACAAGTTTTCTCTTGTGAACTCTAAGAGGCTACTAAAAGCTATAGTGAAGTTCCTGCAATAATAGCATGTACTGTGATTTGTATTGTGATAAGTAGTTGAGCTAACCCCGGACAAGAAGAAGCATTACTTCCTTTGTTGTTCTTGTCCAGCATTAGCTCAACTTCTCTTTAGGTTTCTGACCTATCTTATGTTGAAGCAAATGTTTAATTAATTTCCACATTAATGTGAATTTGCTATATGTGATTTTTTTAAATATGGCATCTTGTTTTGTTAATTTCACTAAATTTTATTTTTGTGATTGGCCCACCTTATTGTTGATGTGACAAAAGTACAGATGTGTATAAAAAATGTACGAACCAAGGAGCCCATGTGAACTCATATTAACTTTAACTCTTAGGTAAATTCAAAGGTAAATACATGATGATATCCAATGTTAAAGTAGATGATGGATTGAGTTTGATGATTTTTTTGGGCTGTGTCCACTATGAAATGCTAAATTATAATATATTCCATTAAGTATGCATGCTCATTTGTTGCCTAATAAGTAGTTTAAAATGTCCATGTCAAAAATAAAATACACCTTTTCATTCCATTTTCTACATTTGGTTTCTTCATTTTGATATGTGATAACACAGTGGTAATATGGCAATCTAATTGAAAATTATCGGAGGGAGGATCTCCTCCAAAGTATGGATGATGCAGCCTCATGGGATTAAAGTACTTGTCTGAGGCTTGGCAAAACCATACTCATGGACGTTAAATGCACATTCACAGTCAACATACATTATAAAATTAAAACTTATATCTTACAATTAAATCTAGAGGACAAGTCACATAGAGAGCTTGCTTCCTGACCATGGAAGTGGTTACAAATAACAAATCAATTTACACAACATGTGTGGAAATTGATGCACAAGCGTTGTTCATCCAGCAACTTAACAGGTACAAACAGTAACTTTTAAGTTTTTCTTATACATTTTCAATATCAGGTAAACTAGTGACTTTGGTATCTAAATTTCTAATGTCTTGGAGGGCCTGTAAGAAACGTTCTTGGAACGCCAAGCGGAGAGCTCGCTCTTCTTCTTGTTGATGCAAAACCAATTTTACTGCCTCATTTAAATCCTGCATGTCAAGTTTCAATGACCCCACTCATCCTTCAAGGCTCCCAGTTCCTCCTTAACAGTCCCACTTCGTCGACTAAAACCTAATTTCTTCCTTTACGGAGCTCACCTCGTCCTTCAATAAATTCATTTCTAAGTGGATATCTTCCACCCCGTCCTCAATATCTTGTATCTCTTGTTTGAGTTTGGCATTGCAGTGGGGAAAGCACCTCCTCCTGTAAATTGCATTTGCTTAGTAACCCTGTTGGATACTTATTACAGAATAAGAGAGTTTTTGTTTGACAAGAAATGCTGAGCATAATTTTGAACTCGAACAAATTAATGCTTTAACTTACCACCACGGAGTTGCCACTGGTATCCTGGACTTCCACCTCACTGACCGCGGCAAACCAGGACGCGCCAGTTGGAGGGAGCGGAACGCACCACGCGCTAAGGCCGATGTGGAGGGACCGGCCATGGCATCCACAGGTAAGGTTCCAGCTTGAGAGGAAAGGAGCTGTTCCTCCAAGGTTCCAGTCGGGACCTTGTCCACACTTTCTGAATCGGCGGGGTATGCGAAAAACGCCGTTGGGCATTAGCGGAACGATGGTGCACTGCAAGAAGGTTGCTCTTACCTGGCTCCATCCGTAAAACCTTATGGAAAAATTTCTTGATTCTAATCAGCTTTTTTCTTAAGTACATGTGTCAAAAAGCCGGCTTTGAGAGAGAGTCGCGCTCGTAAACAAGCTGTTGCCTAGCAACCGAATCCCCGAATCCTCCCGCGTTAGGAACGCGAGCAAATCTGCTACGGTATATTTACCCATATTTGACGAACTCTTGATAGAAATGCATATTAAAGGAAAGGAAGCGCGTATGAACAACATTACCCCACCACAAGTTAATTTAGAACTTTTAAAATTTTGTCAAGACACTTTGTTTTGCTGGTGGGTTGGTGGAATCGTGTTATCGTCTGCTGGAGTAAATATAAACAATCAACAAAACCCAGTCTGCTTGTTTGTTTCCATAATTTTGTAACAATCGTCTCCTTGTTTATTTTCATAGTTTCGAAAACATCGTCTGCTTCTTTGTTGGCTGAGCGATAGCGAAGCCTGTTACTCCAGTGGGGTTGAAAAGTTTTTTCTGTCTGTCTGTCTGTCTGTCTGTCTGTCTGTCTGTGTGTCTGTGTGTCTGTGTGTGTACACTACTCCTCCTGAACGGCTCGGCCGATCTCGGTGAGATTTTGCAGGCTTATTAGGTATATTCTTGGCTCGGCACACGCGAAATTTCACTATCCTAGCTCACGTGGTTCAGTTTTTATAGCCGAAAAACGCTTAAAAAACGGCGAAAAATCGAGTCTTCTGCAGGCAGATCACTTCTGTGTTGAAGGAAGGGGGTCTGGGGGGCAGGGGCCCCCAGCCAGGACAAGTTAAAAGTTACAAGGATCAAGATTGTGCATCGATGATGAAACAACTCTATCTAGAATAAAGGGGGGCAGCCCCCCAGTATGCAAGTTAGAAGTCACCGACGATGACAAGCCAATGCCTGCCGAAGGCAGGCTAGCGCCGCAGGCCAAGGTAGGTACGCCAGGCGCGGATTGGAGGAACAGGCCGCGAGACATCGCGAAGCCTGTTACGACAAGACGCGGTCTGGCGTAAACCTACCTTGTATACAAACTTTGGTAAACATGGTCTGCATGTTTGAATGCAAGCTTTTGTAAATATCCCCTTGTTTGTGAACTCTACATTTAGGTCTATTTTTGAAGCAAGGGTTGAGGTGTGTGTACTTGGATGGATAAGAGTTGTAATTCCTCATTCTTTAACAGTAGAAAACAGACATTCCGTCGCGTCGTTCGCCCTGAGCTTCCTGTCTCAAGGGTCACAGGCCAAACGTTACCCAGAAAAGTTTGTCCCTGTCGAGATGGACGACCCTCATCGCCTAGATGATGACGCGGAAGAAGATGAACTTATTGCCATGGATCCATTGAACCCCAATATGTATACATGAGGAGCGAATAGGCAGAAATGGGTCCTCAGGGTACATCGTCGAGGCCTGAGAGATGCAAGGAACCCATTTGATGTCACCTACGAATCATTTGTGAGCAGTTACAGACTGTCACAAGATCTGGCTCTAAGTCTGATCGATGTCTTGCGTCCCTTTGTTAGACCGACCACAAGCGCTCTAGCGGTACCCCTTGAGCTCAAGGCACGGAAACATCATCCAGATACTAGTTAAATTTTTATGTCATAATTTTGTCTAAAAATAGCAAATTTTAGCAAATAAAATGGTTCATATTGTCTTGCAGGTTCTTTCAGTGCTTAGTTTCTATGCATCGGGTTCTTATCAAACACCAACTGGAAAGCACTTTGATTGCCCCATTGCCCAGCCAACATTGAGTGGATACATCACAGAAGTAACCAATGCCTTAAATGAAGATGCAATCCTTACTCACTTCATCAGATTTCCATCAACTGTGCAAGAACTTAACCACTGCATTGAAAGGTGCTGGACCTACTCCTGTAAAAAAAATTGTGAATACTTTCTTAAACTGACTAAAGAGTGTTGCATACATTTTTTTTCACCATGCACCTTGCTCTGCAGCGTTTCCAAAAGATTTTAATATTTTGATTAGGTATTATTCTGAACAGGAACCAGAATCTTGGAGGCCAACTGCCGAATGTGGTCGGCTGCACTGATGGGACATTGATAAAAATTAAATCCCCATCACTTGCTAACAATAAGCATGCATTTACCGGCAGAAAAGGAGTGCCTTGCATCAACGCTCAGATTGTAAGTGTAAACACTGCTTTTGGGTTTTCATGTAAACCAAACCCATTCAAAAATGACTTTTTCTGTTTTCTGTTTCGATTAAATTTTAGACATGTGACCGACGAATGTACATTACAAATGTTGTGCCAAATTTCCCTGGCTCCACAGCGGACTCTTTTATTTTCCACCGGTAGTGCACTGCGTCACAGAATGATCAACTTCTACAACAGGCGCCGCTGTCATCTTCTTGGTAACTTTGGCTTGTTTTTCTCAAAGGGTAGCAGTCCCCACACTTGCCTCTGCTTTTTACTTGACATTTTATCCGGTACTGTAGGAGATACGGGATATGCACAGCAGCCCTGGATGTTGACGCCATTCCGGCAAACAGAAGATAACACACCAGAGTCCCGGTACAACAAGGCTCATTGCAGTGACAGGAATGTTGTAGAACGGACTATTGGCCTTTTGAAGGAACGATGGAGGTAATTTAAGTGGGAATACTGATCACTGAAATTGTAACTTGCATGATTTCTGTCATGCCAAATATGTAAGTAATTGTCACGCTTTGTTTTTCAGGTGCATAAATGATGAGCGCACTCTGCATTATGACTATGTGAAAGTTGCACAGTTCATAAATGGTGCAGTTGTGCTTCATAATTTGTGTGTCCTGGCTAATTTGACGCACTATGCAGAAGGTGCTCATCTCCTCAGAAATGTTAATGTAAACGAAGAAGAACCTGAAGAGGACGATGATGATTTGGATGATGAAGATGTGCCAGAAGGTAGGAGGCAACAACGAGCCATCCTAATCCGTGGACAACAAGTGCGTCAGGAAATTGTCAATGAGCTGGAGCTGCGGCGACAGTAGGCAATGGACTGCATATTTGTGGTAGAAAAAAAGAAGAAAGGAACATCAATCAACATGGTTCTACCTTAAGGTGTACTGTAGGTATTAAATGGTAATTGATAGTCAGTCGTATTGTTTGAAAGTAATTTTTTTATTTGTATGAAGAATAGATGATGATTACATGGCACTGGTTTTAAGTACATATTGAGAATTTGTTTAGACTGTTTATGATGATGTTACTGTTGGAATAGGAGGTAATTTGCACCTAGATGTAACCGGTAATACTTCCTACTAATACTCAGCTTAACTACATCAATCAACATGATTCGGGGATTTAAAAAGTTTAGCTACCTTGTTTACAATGGATTTTGCAGTTTTGAGAATATCATTAAAGGCTGTCACCTTTAATAATTATATTTGTGTCTCTCTAAATAAAAAACCGCCTTACCACCCAAGTTTCGTATGAACACTTCAAGACAGTTTATATAGATCAGGAAAAGAAAGGGACTCCAAAACTTGAATGGCTCCTTTATTCACATCTTGTTACAATAAGGTGGGCAAATCACACAACTGAAATTAACAAAACAAGATGCCATTTAAATGAACAGCAGTACAATGAGCGTTCTAATATTTTTAAAATCATATATAGCCATTAACACTATGTGGAAATTAATGACACATTTGCTTCAACATAAGATGGACCATAAACCTAAAGAGTAGTTGAACTAATGCTGGACAAGAAGGAAGAAAAAATACTTCTTCTTGTCGAGGGTTAGCTCAACTACTTATCACAATACAAGCATTACTTGTCACTTTAGTTTTTAGTAGCTTCTTAGAGTATAAAAGAAAAATTTGTTTTAATCTTACAGATAACTCAAAATTGACTTATTAAGCAGTAAACAGTTATTTTATTGAAAAAATCACATAAAGCCAACTAACATTAACATGACAATTAGTGAATTATTTCCTTGAACGTAGGAAAAGCAATAAACCTATAGAGAAGTTGAGCAAATGCCGAACAAGAAGAAGAAAGGAAGAAATCCATCTTCTTGTCCAGGGTTACCTCAACTACTCTGTATCAGTACAAATCACAGTACATGCTAATACTGCAGGAACTTGTTACTATGGTTTTTAGTAGCTTCTCTAGTACAAAAGAAAAAATTGTTCAATCTTACAGATAACAAAAAATTGACAGAATAATTAAGCAGTAAGTAGTTAACTCATAAATAAAAATCACACAGGATAGCCAATTAACATTAACATGCAAATTAGTGAAATATTTGCTTGGACATAAGATAGGCCATTAACCTATAGAGTAGACAAGGACAAAAATGGAAGAAATGCTTCCTCTTGTCCGGGGTTAGCTCAACTAATTATCACAATACAAATCACAATGAACAGCAGTACAGTGAGCGTTCTAATATTTTAAAAAATTACATATAGCCAATTCACACTAATGTGGAAATTAATGAAACATTTGCTTCAACATAAGATAGGCCATAAACCTATGGAGTAGTTGAGCTGATGCTGGACAAGGAGGAGAAAAGAAGAAATGCTTCTTCTTGTCTGAGGTTATCTCAATTACCCTGTATTAGTACAAATCACAGTACATGCTACTACTGCAAGGACATACTACTATAATTTTTAGTTGAATTCAAGAGAAAAAATTTGTTCAACCTTGCAGATGGCACAAAATTGACAAACCAATTGAGCAGTATGTATATGGATGTGCAGATTTCGCAGGAAAGAAAAAAAAAAGAAACTAAAGTGTCCGAAGACGATATTGTTTGGCTAGGGGTATAAATGAACTATTGAATGGTTACCCTTCTCCCTCAACTCTGGGCGGCGTTACTGTGAGGCGCCTGGGGGCCACTGCTAGGGTAACAGATCACCATGGATTTTTTAGGTCCATGGCTTCCCCCAGGCCCCACCCCGGGAGCAAGGGCCCTTGAACTGCCTGCTACGAGGGAGTTCTTCACTCCCCCTAACCCCCACCCCCTGTGGGTTGGCGAGCAGGTCTTTTAAATGTATTTGCACCCTCGGTCAACAACTAACAACTTAACTGCAACAAGAATGAGATAAAGAAAGCAAGGACAACCAGTTCACTTGCAGATTGTGACACGTCGGAGCCCTTGCCCACCAGTGGCACACCCTGCAAGTAAACTGGATGCATTGGGGTTCCCTAAAAGTTGGTGCACTTTGAACGAATTTGGAAACAGTAAAATTTGATTAAGACGCCAAAAATGTGAATTTAAGCCAAAAAATCCCCACCCCTAGCCACCCTAACATCCTGCGAAATCTGCACATCCATAAGTATGAAGTTAACCTATCCCGTCCGAAAATTTGGCTGATCCAGCAGAAGTTGAAGCAGATCCTGATCTTGATCTAGATGAAGTGGATCTGCTGCGCTGCCTTCTGGAACTGGATTTCGATCTTTTTCTAGAGCTACTCCCTCTTGATCTTGATCTAGATGAAGTGGATCTGCTGTGCCGCCTTCTGGAACTGGATCTCGATCTTTTCCTAGAGCTCCTCCCTCTTGATCTTGATCTAGATGAAGTGGATCTGCTGTGCCGCCTTCTGGAACTGGATCTCGTTCTTTTTCTAGAGCTCCTCCCTCTTGATCTTGATCTAGATGAAGTGGATCTGCTGTGCCGCCTTCTGGAACTGGATCTCGTTCTTTTTCTAGAGCTCCTCCCTCTTGATCTTGATCTAGATGAAGTGGATCTGCTGTGCCGCCTTCTGGAACTGGATCTCGTTCTTTTTCTAGAGCTCCTCCCTCTTGATCTTGATCTAGATGAAGTGGATCTTCTGTGCCGCCTTCTGGAACTGGATTTCGATCTTTTTCTAGAGCTCCTCTCTCTTGACCTAGATGAAGTAGACCTGCTGTGCCGCCTTCTGGAACTGGATCTCGTTCTTTTTCTAGAGCTCCTCCCTCTTGATCTTGATCTAGATGAAGTAGATCTGCTGTGCCGCCTTCTGGAACTGGATCTCGTTCTTTTTCTAGAGCTCCTCCCTCTTGATCTTGATCTAGATGAAGTGGATCGGCTGTGCCGCCTTCTGGAACTGGATCTTTCTGGAGTGATATGATGGTTCTGCAACAACGGTCAAATTAACTGCCACCCTAGATTCTAATACCGGGCAAACATAATTGGACAGTGATTTGCTGTAGTTGCATGCTCCCTTAAAGGTAACAGACTAGTGACTTTATTCTGTATGACTTACATTAATTTTGCTGCGTTTCATGATTGCAGATAAGCTTCCTGATGGATTCATCTCAATCTGAAAAATAAAACCATCAATTGATTTTTGGAGGAAAAATTAAGCGTGTTTGATGGCACAGCCTAAAGCAATACCTGAAGTGGATCTTTGGCGCCCATGAAGCCAACTACTCGTTTCCAGCCCCCCATACAGGTTAACACCCGTAACTGGTGATCACTTAGTTCAGGTGGAGGGGGCCCTCCGCCAGTCCCTCGCTTAGAAATACGGGTATACTCTTGAGCGGCTTGTTTCACAGCATCTTTCATATCAGACCAGTACTGTATGGAACACAAAAACAAACAAGTCTTAAAATGACAAGCAACAATCTAGGTACTTATTATGAGGAATTTGTTCATGAGGCATACATACAGATTTCCATTTCGGTCCATCTTTATTAGCACCGGGGACTTCATTTAGTAGCAAAGCAAGAGAATCCCATTCTTTCCGAAGCTCCTCCTTTCCCATAGGACCAGTAAACTCTCCTTGGCTAAAGGGGATGTTCTGCTCCATGTACCCCAAAAGGAACTCCTTTTGATCTTCAGTCACGGGCAAGCGAATCCTAGGCGGCGGATTTGGCATCTGCAAATGAAAGAGAGAAGCACTGTGTTTACAAACAAACAGAAGACGAGGTTAAGGCGTCCATCCCTAATTTTGTCTATGGTATTGCACGGAAACCTCCACAAAAATGTAGTTTTTTAAAAATAAATGGATATTGGTGGCAAAAGGACTAAGCGAGGATGCTGTGAACGCGTGCCAAGCTTTTGAGATGTTGGCGAAAAGCAACAAAATTTGAGCCCGTTCATTAGCATCGACGCCTAACTGCCAGAGCATTAATGTCTTTAAATCAGCCAAATATAATAGCATCGTAAGAGAACACTTGTAAAAGTCGCTAATAGGGCTGATGCGTACCTTGAACGATGAGAGCAAGAAGTGAGCCGGCGTCACATCGGAATCGGTGGGTGACGAGCTTTAAAAGCCTTGGGGTGACAGTTGGTGACGGTTGGTTGTTTGACGGTTTAAACGGGCCCGGCCGAACTCGGATCCGATTGGCCGATCGCGTAGAGGCTACTTTTTGAAACTTTTTAGGATAAGTTTTATTTTTGACATGTCGATAGAATAATTTAAAATTTTTTTCAAGTCCATTCCGGGTTCTCACGTCTTTTGACTATGCTTTGGCCTCTAATGGCCGTTGAGTCGTTCTCTGCCTGCCCGGCCTCTCAAGGCCGGCGCGGCGCGACACTAGCGCTCCGATCAAAACAGTGAAAAAATCGTCATTTCACTGCAATAATAACGCCCGGCCATCACATTTGAAACAATTAGTTCGTTTCTTTACCCATATCCGAATGAAAAAGTGAGAAATTTTAGTGAATATAACACGATAAGGACCGTTATGAACCGTGCGACTCGCCGCGACCCGCGGCGAGTCGCGGCGAGTCACTCACTCGTTGCGAGCGAGCTAATCGAACTCCCCGATCTCGCTGCTGGGCCGAGCGCTGGTGGGGGTCCAAATCGGCGGAGTGGGGGTGAAGGCGGCGCGCGCATGCTTGAAGCCATGAGAGAAGGGCGCCCTGGAGTCCCAGCTTTTTCGGGCCGGGACGCCGCCTGGCGGAGGTTTGCACCACTTTGCGGCTAAACGGCTCATCGCACAACATTTCTGACTAGCTCAGTAGATTCAGGAAGGTCTTTTACGTGCCCCGGCGTCGTTACATTTTGATTTGGTCAACCGGGGACCGAACGCGGCGAGCCTGAAGGGCGGCAGTGTGGCGCGGCCAAGGGTCCGCAGCGGCTGGCTGCCTGATGGCTGGCCGCCGGCTACCCCCACCCTATCGCTTGGTGAATATCTCGTGCCTTTTAAAACGAAATAACGGTGAAAACGACACGTTGTCTTCGTCTAAGCGTGTAATATCACACCTAACACAAGTTTGAACCAAAAAATCAGTGTCTACTGGCCTCTAGCGGTAGGGTGGGGGTAGCCGGCGGCCAGCCATCAGGCAGCCAGCCGCTGCGGACCCTCGGCCGCGCCACAGTGCCGCCCTTCAGGCTCGCCGCGTTCGGTCCCCGGTCGACCAAATCAAAATGTAACGACGCCGGGGCACGTAAAAAACCTTCCTGAATCTACTGAGCTAGTCAGAAATGTTGTGCGATGAGCCGTTTAGCCGCAAAGTGGTGCAAACCTCCGCCAGGCGGCGTCCCGGCCCGAAAAAGCTGGGACTCCAGGGCGCCCTTCTCTCATGTTGAAGCATAGCCCTACTCTGCCCATCCCGGTCCCACCACCGCGTAACACGGGCTCGCGACGCTCTTAGGATTCTCCCGATCTTTCGCTGACTTCCGGTCTGGATTTCCTACGAAGTACACTATCTCTTCAGAACCGCCACACACCGTAGGAAGCCGTCTTGTTTTTTTTTCTCAACGGCAATGCGAGCTCGCTTGATAGCAGCTGTCTAGTGGTCGGCAACTCCGTTGTACAGCACATCCCTGGAAGTGGCTGTTTTCATCAGCTCTTCGCTGGCACTCCTCGCCTGGTCTTGCTGCTGAGTAAAGCTATCTAGCAGCCAAAAACTCAAGAACCCTGTTGAATGTGTCCCTCAGAGGGCTACTTCCTTTTCGAGATGAAAAAGTGTTCAGGTTTTAAAATAAGGCCAAACTGCAGGCATGGAAAAATTAATAAATGAGCACTTCGTAGGAAATCCCGACCGGAAGTCCGCGACAGAACGGGAGAAACAAACGAGCGTCGCGCGGCCGTGCTGAGCGGTGCTGGGGGCCGGAATGGGCAGGACCGGGGTAGCGCGCGACACCCTGTTGTTTCTCCCGTTCTGTTCTGTCCGCTGACTTCCGGTGTACGCTTCCTCCGAAGTACCCTATCGCATTGTTGTTTAGTGACAGCACCTGGACGATTCTCTAGAAATTTTGTCTTGTTCAGTGTCATTTTCGAGGGTTTCAAGCTGCTGTAGGAATTGGGAGACATTTTTATCTTTCCTCTTGTAGTCCTCTCAGATACGTCCCGTTCTGTTTAGTATTCTGTGGTCTCTACATTCTCTCATTCTGATCATGGATTTCTTTAAGCTTCCCATGTACGCCTTCTGCTGTCACAAAATACAACCCCGTTGATCATTGTATCTAAAGAGAATGTGTAAGAGGCGTCCAGGTGAACCGTGCGGCCGTACACAGGGCCCAATAGGGTACCTCGGAAAAGATTCAGGCCGGAAGTCAGCGCGACAACGGAGAAACAAAGAGCGTCGCGCGGCCGTGCTAGGCGGTGGTGGGGTCGTTTAGGCATGGTAGGGGCAGCGTGCGCGCGCCACCATTACCCCCTCCCTGCCCCTCCCCCCCAACGCCACCGACGCTCTTTTGTTTCCCCGTTGTCGCGCTGACTTCCGGTCTGAATCTTCCTCGAAGTACCCTATCCCCATTTGCTGTCGAGGTGATGCGAGATGCCAAAGAAAAGGACACTCATGTCTCTAACGGCTTCAAGCAAGTTTTGAACACTCACACTTAATTGGACAGGGGCTCCATGAAGATGCGGGTCACCTTCACCGCCCCCCGCCACAGCGGCGACAGTGGCGGCCTCGAACTGCTGACCGGAAGACATCTTTCCGATGGGGACGGCGGCAAGCGAATGCCGGGAATGGCTGGAACGTAGCCTTGCTGTGTATCCCTACGCTACGCCCCGCGGCCCACGTCACGCTTGCAAATGTGTGGCTGCGCGTGTGAGAGTGTGCGCTCACGGAGAGCGAAGGGGACAAGGGTTCATAGTCTTTGAAAAGTCATTCTCTCGGGAGAGGAATGGTGGCCTTGAAAAAGGCCTTTTTGTCGGCTTTTAACCTGGCCGTCAGGTTGCTGCTGCCGTGCTGCTCTTACTCCGGCGTGGCGGCGGTGTAGCGGGCCGCCCACATGTCGACCATTTCCTCCGCCAGCTGCAGCCGCTGGAGCCTTGCAGCCTTGAAGGCAGCCTCCATGGCCGGCAGGTCCCGCTTGGCTTGCCGCCGCTCCATGGCGAGCGCCATGGGGGCAAGCGCGCGCCGCTCTGGACGTCCTTCTTGACGATGGCCGCCATGGCGGCGACGGCCTCTGGGTCTGAAGACATCGGAGCAGATGCGGTCCTCCCGGTGGGGACGGCGGCAAGCGAATGCCGGGAATGGCCGGGACGTAGCCTCGCTAGGCGTAGTGCTAGACCGGGAAAGATTGCTGATAATTGCATGTCGAGAGGCGATTTGTGCTACAAACTGGCAACAGGCGGTTCTAGACTAATTCGACCTGGAAAACTGCCGCTACCGTGCAAGTTCCCACCACCACACTGAAAACGATGCGCCCTGTTGCCAAGCTCGATTTTTGATTAAGCCCCTAAATTCAAGATGGCGTCCAAATGGCCGCCAAAAAGCTTGTTTTTCTAAAATATCGAGGTACGCACAAGTGTCGCTGTATTATTTTTACAGTTTAGGGGTAAAATAATATAAGGTACATATTGTGTAACCATTTCCAACCATCTGCACATTTTTCAGGGGCCCAAATGCCTAGATGGCGTACGAAAACACGTCAAAATACACCAAATATCCGTGTTTTGAAACGGTTTTCCCCTCCTCCTTTTGCTCGTGATTCACGTCCAATGGCCAGTTCTTTTCAATCCTCGTAAATTTCCACGCTTTGGGAATATAAGTGGTCCTAATGTGAAGGGTTTTAGTTGCTAAGATGGCGTCCGAAAACGTCCACAAGTACGAAATATTGCTGTTTTCCCGGGTCATTTGCCTCATTTCGTTCGGGTTTCGTGTTCGATGTCAGTACTCATTACCCTTTGTACATAGTAAATGGCAGTTCTTGTCAATCTTCGTAAATTTCCACATTTTGAAAACGTGCAGGGTCCAATGCGGGAGGGCGTATGTGCCAAAATGGCGTCCGAAAACATAAAATAACACGGAAATTCGATAATTATTACACTGTTAAAAAATGGTTGTATAGAAACAATCAGATGAGTGAAAATTTAGTCATTCCAAAACAAAGAATTTTGTCATGAACCAAAGCGAAAGAAATGTCGTTGAATCTTGCAAGCGACAATTTGTCGTTGAAGAACAAAATTCTTGTTATCATCCTTAACGATACTATTTGTATGGAAACAAAATCTTTTGCAATTATCTGCTCAATTGAAGCTAATTATGAATAATCAACTATTGGCCTTCATTAGTCATAGCAACATTACTTTTATTTAAAAAAGAACTAGGCAAATTAAATTTAGCGACAAAAGTACTCCATGAATACTTGTCCCAGACATTACAAAATCTTTTTCGACTTACAACACTTGTCGTTGACCAACATCATTTGTTGTTGGTCAACGACTTGTATTTGAAAGTAGACTGCTAATGTGTTATTACAAGTTAGTCGTTGTGAAATTATCCTTTAGTTCCAGTACAAGTTTGGTTAAACAAGCTATTCGTTCCACAACAAATCTTGTCGCTAAAAAAATTAGCGATAAATGTGTCGCTACGTTACGACAAAATTTTTGTCAGTGTAGTGATTCTGCCTCGTTTGACCCGTTGTGACGTGAGTTGTCAGTTCTGTCACATAATGCATGTGGTAGAGTAGCGAAAGCCCCAGGGCGAACAATCGATTAAACGAGCAAGGGGCCTAAAT